TTGTAATGGATTAGATTTTTTTCACTTTTTTTAATAACTTGAAAAATATTGACTTGCCCTATTTTAAATATGCATCAATTATAAGTTTAAGGGCTCAAAAATTAAAATTAAAATTTGAGAATATTATATGTGTAACAATCTAAATTTTTAATTATTCTGTAGAATTTATACTAATATTATTTAATCACAGTTAGGGAAAATATATCATTTTTTTATGTATTATTATGGGTAATTTTGTAAAATAATATAATTATTAAAAATTTAAGAGTCAAAATATAAATAAATAATTAAGTTTAGATAAGTTTGAATTAATTTAGATAAGTTCGAATTAATGGAGATTAACAAGAAAGTGACACGTGGCAGTTGGCTTGGGGCTCACGAATTGAATTTGTATAAATAGGTAGAAGTTGACTCCATAAGAGAGGAAGAAAGAAAGGAAAAGTAAGAGAGAAAGTAGAGAAAAGAGAGGAAAAAAATAATGAAGGTTGAAAGAGTCTTTGGTGGTGGAAAGAAAGAGTGAGCTATTAAAGTTAAGGTGAGTTATATTATACCTTGAGTTACCAAAATGTATTTTACGTATATTTTGACTTATTAAAATCTATTTTACACAAGTTATGTTTTATTAGTATATTAATAAAAGTTATGTTTTATGAAGGTTTCAGTTATGTGGATTATTTTTTGAACTTTAATTACTTAAAGTGAAACCCATGGATATATTTGTTTTACTTTTAAAGAATATTTGGCTATGGCCTTATATACAATTATGTTTTGTAAATACCACCACGGGAGTCCCACGCCTTGGGGACTTAAATAACCATTGGTCCTGTTTGACCACTTTGTGGTCCCGTGTTTGTCATGGATCTATTGACTCCTGTAGTGATTGTCACTTAGTGACCCTTGTTTTATTCTATACCGTGGTTATAGTTATTTATTTCAGTATTTGCCACCGAATTAATTTGTGTATTCAACTCAAATTATGTTAATGGTTTGGCCTAACTAACTATTCATGATTATTTCGTGTTCCTTATACTCTTGGTATAATATTTCTCGCTCTGCCATGTGCTTATAGCTGTTTACCAATTTTCAAGAAATAATGCAATTCAGAAATAGCATTTGGAAAGTCTTAGACGCGGGGCTGCAGAATAGATGCACATAAAACTTTTATGATATTTTTTATATGTAAATATCGGCCTTTTGGTCAATATGATTTTGTAATGAAAATAGAAGGTCTAATGATTATTTTAGTACCCTAACTTAAATATTTTTCCGCTCGCGTTTATTTGTTTGTTAAAGATTTGGCCGGAGGTAACCTCAGTTACTGGCCATTACGATACTTAACCCTTGAGTATGGGGAGCGGGTCGTGACAATATGATTACGAAAATATACTAATTTTCTTACATATGAATAAATAGTGCAAATTGTTGAGAAAAAATAAATCCATTTGTTTCAATTTAAAATAATAACAAATATGCATTAATTAAAATGATAAATTTTACGTTGTTTTCAATCACTAAAGTATATATAAATCAAAGTCTATCTAATCCCTAAACTATCAATTGAATCTATTAAGTCTCTAAAATATTTAATTCAAACATGATTAGTTCCTGAAAGAATTATAAAAATAAATATATGTTCATAAGTATTGTAAATTAGTAAAAAATCTTATCTAATTAAGGGTTTATTATAGAAAAATCTTAATTTTTTTCTTTAAAAAGTGCCTTATTTCATTGTATCTTTAAATTAGTGTTAGAATATGATTTTTCAATCTTATCAATAAAATTATATGAATATTAGATCTACGGAAGAAGTAAAATTAGATAATTTAAATAATAACACTTCACTACAAATAATAATAGAATAAAATAATACATGAATTAAATTATAAAAAGAACTTAGCGAAAAAACCTTAAAAATAATCAATTATAAATTATAAACGAAATCTGATATATATTATTGGATAAAGGTAAACACGTAACCATGGTAAAAGATAAGTAAAAAAATACTATAGACAACACGTAACCATGGTAAAAGATAAGTAAAAAAATACTATAGATAATTACTCTTGCAATTGTAAAGAAAATTCACCATAGGAATTGATGCTCACTTTTCAAAGATAGAATAAAAATTTAAGATTTTTTTAAATAAAATTTTAACTAGATAAGATCTTTTACTAATTTATAATACTTATGAGTTTATATTTTAATTTTATAATTCTTGTAGGGACTAAATAGGCTTGAATTAAATATTTTAGGAATTTAATAGAATCAATCGATAGTTTAGGGATTAAATAGATTTTAATTTATATACTTTAAGGACTTAATAAACTCAATTGGCTCGTTTGGGAACAGGCTAATTTAGTAATTTTTTGGCTATTTGGCTAAAAAGGTAGGTAAAAAAAACTTGTATGTTTGGGATGACTTTTTGGCTAATTACGAAAAGATGTGCAAAAAGTAGAGAGAAAAGAGAATCTTTGACTTTTTGATATGGGTTGTTGGCTTTTTGGCTAATTTAGTAACTTTTTGGCTAATTGGCTAAAATAGCCTCTTGCCAAACGAGGAGCTTTCATTTAGAATGTGGGTTGACTTTTTGACTTTTTAGCTATTTTAATCTAAGGTTAAAAAATCTCGTTTGAGATAGGTATTTTGATTTTTTTGACTTTTGCGAAAGAAAAGATGAAATGATTATGGTTTAGATCTGACATTTTATCTTATTAACTTTTTAACTTATTTTGTCTTTTTGTGTTAAATTAGCCAAAAAAAAGCATGCCAAACATATAGACAATTTGATCATAGTTTTATGGGTATAAAGTATAAGAAATTCTAATTTAATATAAGGCTTATTTTACACTATATAAGGCCTCGTTTGGCATGTACCTGTTTTAGTCTAAAAATCAAAAAGTTACAAAAAAAATTAAAAAGTCTATAATCTATATCAAAAAGTCAAATATTCTTTTTTTCTTTACTTTTTGCACATCTTTTCATAAAAAATTAAAAATTCATTCCAAACATACTACAGTAATATTTTTTTTACCTCATATTTTAATCAAAAAGCAAAAAAATTACTAAAATATCATATTCCCAAACGAGGCCTAAGTCTGATAAGTCTTATATTAATTATTAGGGTCTTATATTAAATTATTAGAGTGTTATACTAAAATATGCATGGTTATGCAATAATATATATATATATATATATATGCAACATCTCAAAGGGAGGTGAGTAAAAAAATTTATTTGAATAACTTCTTGGTTGATTTGGTAGTTTTGTCTTTTCACATGCAAATCAAAGCGTAATATGGTTTTTTTACACACTTAAGTGACGTTTGTGCCAATTTAACAGATTCAGAAAATCTTGATAATGTCAGCAAAAATAGGAAAGGTTACTTTAATTAATGAAATCTCAAAGAAAATCCCTGTAATTATCAAAAATCTGAAAGGACATAAGTATAATTACCCATATTCTAATTATTTTTAACAACAATGTTAGGTAACTCAAAATTTTGTGACTCAAATGGCTCAAATCACTCAAAACGACGTCGTTTTGACAGATTTTGAGTGTAAAACGACGTCGTTTTGACAGATTTGAGCCATTTGAACCACAAAATTTTGATCTACCAAATATTTTCCTATTTTTAATTCCTTCCATTTTTGCAATTAATTCGTCTTCTTTCCATTTTTCTACATGTTTTCTGAAAAAATGTGCCATTTTTTAAGTTGAAGTCCCTTTTAACCTATAAAGTCTATGAAAAATATTTCGTAAACTCTGTTATTTCTTTTTTATTTTTAAGGTCTTCTAATTTAATAGGACCTTAAAAAAACAATTATAAAAAAAATCAAAATTGTCACTTTTTAGAATGACATCAGTGTTTTTTTTTTTATTATTATTATTTTTTTAATTAAAAAGGCTAAAAATGGCATATCAGTTGGAACATGGAGATGCTCGAGTTGTATACACAGGGGTGCTTCTATTTACACATCATATTTAGTCTTAAAGCACACCATTAATTAATTATTTTTTATTACAATAATAAACTTACCTAAAATGACGAAAATGACCAACACTTCACAGAGACGAGCAAGAGAGAGAGAGAGAGACCACCGAAGTTTTACTCCGAGTCATCAATGGCCATTTAGGGTTTCTATTGATTCTTCTATCTCTCGATAATCAAACCCCTTTTCCATTTTTCTCTTCCTTGCTATCTCTCTTCTCGACCCTCCAAAACCCTAATTTCAATTCAATCCGAGTTCCCAATTCAATCTCCATAGCTTGTCTTGAGAAGCGTGATGGGTGCCCAAGAGAAATCTCCGACAGTGAAGCATTCGACGCAGGTGAGGGGTTTCACTATTGAAGAAAAAGCTTATTTCTTTTGCCCTAAAATTGAGGTTTTCATAATTTACTTGTTATTATTGAGGTGGGTCTTAAATACAAACTCAATTATGTGGATTGATTGTATTTTATCATGGTGAATTCACTTGCTTTTGGTGCTGTGAGCATAAAACTGTAATATTATAGTGTGATTTGCTTATGTTTTAGGGTTATAGTGAGATCTCTATGTTAGTTTGCGTTGTTTGTTTGAATTTGAAGCGTGTACTAAGTGATGTGAGATTAAGAATAAAAGTGAAATATTGTGGTTTGTGTTAAGAAAAATTATATTTTTTCAAATTATTAAAAGTATGAATTGAATAGTGATGTGTCTTGAAACCAAATGTAGTGTATAAATAGAGGCACCCTATACGCAGCTTTCCTTTTTATATGAATGCCTCACCTTCCGGTACAAGTGGCTGTGATTTTAGCAAATAATAATAATAATAATAAAATAAAAAAGAATCATCTTCCCCATTGAGCTCTCTCATGAGCTGTGGAAAATGCAACTGCTATATTCAAATGGAAGCTTGGGGGGAAAATTTATTGCTTCCACTATTTAAACCAATCTGTATTCAGAAGACAAACTACAAAAAAATAATATACCACATGGTCCACGAATCAGTTGACAACACAGTAAGATAAAACATTTGGTGTAATGAATTATGCACCATTTACATTTTTCCATTATCTTTCAACTAATAATGCGGGCTACATACCATCACAACTGTGTAGTAAACTTCAAATAATTTAAATTTACATACCACCATATAGTATCTGGTTACAGGTTTCCAACTTGATGACATGGAAATCAGAGTATGTAAATTTACACCTCCAACAAGCCTTCCAGAAGGTTTTTTGTGGAGGCAGCCTTGGGAGAGAGTTTAACCATTGTTCGCACATGTGATGCTAACTCTCCAATCGTGTGATAGTCCAGTCAAGTCATAATTTTAAGGCAGATCTATTTCTCTTCTTGATAAGCTCAAATCAGTCAAAAAAGATAATTGCGATCATGTGAAAAAGCCGACGCTTAAACTAGCATTGCTCCCTAGTAATGTCTGTCAAATGGATGTACTTAGTTAACCTGAAAAAATGCCACAGTGATCGCATGTAAACTAGGACATTTTTAGTCCTTTACAAATTCGATATGACTGTAGAATGAAAGCAAAATTAGACCGGTTTTTTACCTTCTCTGTGCTAATTTTACGGAGCTGTCTCAAAATCTCAGCAAAATCAGCAGGTGGCCGGCAAGAGAAATTTATGTTCTCCCCAGTTTGTGGATGCCTAAACCTACAAAACAAAGGTAGACAGAGTAATTTGTAGCATATGACAACATTTAAAGAATTTAAATTGAAAAGAATCGAACAATTAGGGAAGGGATAGCTTTTATTTACTAACCCAAGAGCCAAAGCATGGAGGCAAGGCCTTTCTAATCTAGAAACCAGTTGCATTAGTTGCCCATGAAAGTTAGGTGGGGTCCTAGGCCGAAGCATTGACACGGCCATACTTTTAGTGCCTCCATACACCTCATCCCCTAATAGAGGAATTCCCAAGTACTTTGCATGTGCACGGATCTATTTCAAAGTAGCAATCCAGGACATTAGTAGAAACTCACAATGAACACCAAGCTGTTTTGCGAAAGATAATATTGCAATTGAAAACATAGCAGAACTCTGCTATTTATCATATTATTTAGTCCAGTGAAGTTTATAGGCTCTCTATATAACACTGAATATTGAAGAGAGAAAATTGTCAAGGAAAATAACAAAAGTTCCCAAACTCATTAGTCTTTCATGTCTCTCCATCCAAATTAAGAAAGATATATCCTGTTGCTATGGAAATGGAGGCACACCAGCAGGATCACAGTTCCTTCCGAAAAGCCTTTTTTTTTTTTTTTCATTGAGGACAAGATGCCAATAACCAACTTAAAAATATTCCTACAACATTTATAAATAAAAGTGGGAATAAATAATTATGTTACAATGGTTTCACAAAAATATTGTGGCTCAATCTAAAAATTCAGTCTTTTAAAACTTTTAAACATCATAATGAAGTCTTTAATACTATTGAAAAAGGGTACCTGATGAGTGCGCCCAGTTTCTAATCGCCACTCTACCAGTGCAGAACCACCACCAGCAAGTATTTCCATTACTTTGTACCTGATATAATTCAACAACCTATTAGACAAGGTCAAGGATCATAACTGCAAAGAATAATGAGTGTGGGATTTATTTGATCAAACTTACAGAGAAATGGATAGTTGAGGGAGAAAGAGAGAAGGGGAATGACTGATGCCAAGAATATTTGCTTGGGAGTAAATTTCCTTTTTCTTAAATTCGTATTTTACAGTTAGATGAGAAGAACTTTACGGAAATAAAAATGAGCTTTTAATAGGGCAAATATTTTGTGCACCCCAAAAACCTAAGACAAGTTATATTTAGTAAAGATGAAGACACCAATGGAGGACCTCAAATCACCTACTAGCAGCACGACGTGCCTGCCTACATTTACTTGCCCCAGAAACAGCAGTCATACGAATCCGATTATTCAAATCGCGACCTATTGGAATATCAACACGTCCTGAAATTGGGGAAGGCAGTCCACAGGTAAGACTGATGTATACTCTCTGGATTGTATGTTGCTTGAATTGTTCAGATAAGTGAGCATGAGAATGCTCATCCTGCCATCAATAAGCGAAGCGCTTAAAATTCAATAGAAAAATCTAAATCTTAACCACATAGATTAAATCAGTAGATTTTGGGAGACTAGGGAGCATTTATCAGGGGCAGAAATCACCTTTGCAACAACAAGCAATCCACTGGTGCCTTTATCTAATCTATGGACAATTCCTGGGCGAACAGATGCTGCAAATATGTCAGAACTTACATCTTCATTGAAATTTTGACTAGAAGAAAAGCAACTGAACTCATCATCAGAATCGTCTTCTATCTCAGAGATTTCTTCCCGGTTAGGAAATGCATATGTGGAAAGACTGCAATGGTGAAGAACGCCATTCACAAGAGTCCCAGTTGCATTACCAGGCGCCGGATGAACAACCTGGATCAAAAAACAAGAATATCATTAAGAATGATAACTGACAACTACACAAACACACCTCATTGTGTGTACAATGATGTATCTAAACCAGAAACACAAAGCATTTGGTAACTACATTTTCAGATGTAATATGGTATTGACAACTGCATATATTATTTTCAGCTAAAAGTTCAATTAGAAACTCAAAACATAGAGATTTAAACCCTTACCATGTGTGCCGGTTTGTTCACAACTAGCACATGATCATCTTCATAAACAACATCCAAAGGTATATCTTCTGGTTCAGCCTTTAAAGGTATTAACTCCGATATAGTGCACTTAACTTCATCCCCGTCTCTGACCGTGTGTGAAACCTAAAATCATTTAAGTTCAAATTTATATAGCCCAAAGCCACCAAATTTAGCTATATAATACTGAGAATAGATAGCAAATTAAACCAATAATCAATGTTCAATTTTCTCGGCAGCCAATCATGGAGTTTTGGGAGAAATTGAATTAACCTTGTCGATTACTCGGCCATTAACGCTAACAAGTCCAGTTCGAATGCTGGACTGCACGCGAGCTCTACTAACGCCGGAGATTCGAGAAGAAATCCAAGAATCGAGCCTGAGCTTCCCGGATTTGATATCGACGGTCTCGAACAATCGAACGCCAGCGTAATTGGATCTCCTCCGGCCGGAGAGAACTTCTTGAGATTCATCGGAATCTGACGCTACGGCCGAACCAGAACAAGCTCTGATGGTTCTCGAAACCCTAGAGAAACTTCTAGGGCTCGAATTGAAGAAGCAGAGAGAGGAAGAGCTGTGGAGGGAGAGAGAGTAGAGAGAGAACATACTCTTCGTCCTCGATGGTGTTTGTTTTAATCAAATGGAAACCCTCAAATTTAATTTTAAAATCATATTCATAAAATAACATGAATTTTTTTTTTTAGAGGGGATAAAAAAACATGAATTTGATAAATCAATTTAAAACAAACTAAATGGTTGTTTTTTATCTTTTTATAAAAAAATGTGTAAAAAAATAGAGAAATAATATGATAGAAAAAAAATTAAAAAATATATTATTTTATATATACTAAACTTGACCTAAGTTTAAAAATCCCGTTTTAAAATAATTTAGGTGTGATAAAAAAAAAAATTGCTATTTAATGTAAAAATAATAATATGTACGAATTTCATGTTTTTCACTTCACCTCTTACATTATTCAAATAAAAATTGTTAAAATAAATTACTTCATTTATTATATAAACCTGTACAATGTTATGTGTAGAACTTGGAGCATCTTCAACAATTCATATTTTTTCATCAAATCTAAGAAAAAAAAAAAGGCAACTTCCTTAGCCTGATATCAGTCGCTCTAACGATTACGATAACTTTTACTAAAAGGCACGAGATGTTCGGTAGGACGACTGACTGGTCAACCGGACAAGACAATTGAATTTTTTCCCCCCTTATTTATGTTTCCCAATTCGTTTCCCATTCTTTTTTCCTCCATTACATTATTCCCATGCATCACATGTACTTCAAAATGTGTCAACAATGGTGCTACTTCTTTTGACAATTCTCACATAAATATTTTTTATGGACAGGAAAAACAATTATCATAGCAACATCAATGTCAATGGAGCAAATCTAATACTTCTTAAGAGACGGTAATAGCAGGTCATGTTTGAGTGATGTACAGGTGCAAGAAAAAAACAAAACAAAAACAAAAAAATGAAGAAGAAGAAGAAGAAGAAGAAGAAGAAAAAAGAAAGAAAGAGAAAAATTGAATGCATACTACAAAATCTCACCACCATTCTCACAAATTGCACAAATAGAATCAAATAGGTCATCATCAGGCTCATCATCTTCTTCAATCTCATTTATCATATTTGTTGTAGCTCCAATGTCCTGTCAAACCAACTTTTGAAACAGTTCACAAGCCAAACACTGAGAGCATTTTCTGTATGTATCGGGCGACCGATTACCTACCTTCAATGTAAACGCACAATAAAATGGTGAAATCTCACGTAGGTCCACAGTTTGGTGAAACTTTTGCTTAATTCTCAATTTGATATCAATTTGGTGAAACTATTGGAGAGAGAAAAAGTGATTTTTTTCATCAAATTCAAATCTGGCACTCAATCTGATGCAATGTTGGAGATGGTCTTAACATACATTTATGCGTAACATCTTTTCTTTAAATTCACGTAAAAAGTGAAAAACTCGATAAAATTTGAGATTGACTTTCTTTCAGTCTAATCCTTAGTTGCACGAAGTGGGAGCGGGAGTGGGAGTGGAAAATCATAGTCATTCCAAGAATCGTTGATAGGAAGCGTTTGTATATATATTAAATAATATAATATATATAAATATATTATAAGATTATATATTTTTGTCTCTAATAATAATGAAAATATATGTTATAAATTTAATATATATATATATATATATATGAAAAATCATATGTTAAAATATTATAATTATATACTTTTATTAGATTTTTTTCATTTATTATAAAATATTTGTTCTAAAATATTTATATTATTTTCTTATTTTATATAATATCTAATTAATTAAACATAACATAAAAAATTAAAAATAAACAAGATAATAAATTAGTTAAGTGAAATTTATATATATTTGTGCAATCACAACCAGTAAGGCAGATTTCATTAATTGTAAAAAGAGAAGGGTTAAATCAAAAGTCATTTTGTATAAATATGACATTAATACACCACTAGAATTAAATGAAAAAGATGTTAATTTATAATATAAAATCAGAAAATCCTAGAGACCCCAAATAAATTACCAATTGTTCTACCAAATCTCTCACATGGATGTGGGACTCCCACACATGTGATTTGTACGAGTCTCACATCCATGTGAGAGGTTTTGCACAATATTTTGTAATTTATTTGGGGTTTCTAACATAACTCTATAAAATCTATACTTATATAAATGAAAAATAAGAAATTTAAGTATTAAAAGACTTTTCAATCTCGAACAGAGAGGGAGGGAATGAGGGAGAGAGAGAGAGACACGAATAAGAAGAAGCAGAAGACGACGCCTAATGAGGAAGACGACGCCGAATGAGAAGAAGAAGAAAACGCCTGTGAAGCACACAGCTTAAGAAATGAAGAATAAGAAGATGAAGATCAAAGCTTGAGAAGCAAATACACGGAAGAAGACAATGCGATCTCCATTTTCGTAACCCTAATCGCAAGTCCATATCAGGTTTTTCTTTTCCTTGCTACTTTCTCTCTTTCTCTCTCTCTCTTCTTCTTTTTTATTATTGCCGTGAAACACAAATCCTTAGCTTGAACGTTCCCATCCAGTTAGATCCACGATTCTATCTTAATGGGGACGCGATTCTAACACGATTCTTGCTACGAATCGTTGAATCACAATTCTAGACGAGAATCGTCTCCCCTTCCCACGATTCCTGTTACTAAGGTCTGATCACACATTAGAGGGTGTTGTTGGGCCCGTGGAGGCCCACCACGAGTCCCGTTTCGATAATTCAAACCGTTTAATGTGTAAAACTCGTTGAGTACTATATATTTGTAAAAAATCACATTGATCTGATATCAATAACTATTTTATTAGATCAGATTTCTGTCAATCGTTTATTTTTTCACTGTTCATTTTTTTTTATACAAAATTAATTTGATCAAGTAACTATCAATATCTAATCAACGTGATTTTTTACAAGTATATAATACTCGACGACTTCCACACATTGAATGATTTAGATTATTAAAACAAGACTCGTAACAAACCTCCATAGGGCCAACAAGTCCAGAGGGAAGCCAAAACCATAAAATTCATATGAAAATCATTATGGAAATTTATATCAAATTTCCTTGTCCAAGCATTTAAGTGTTGTAGGAGAGGGTTCAAGAACGTCGTTGGAAAGTTCGAAGATCTTCGAAGATCCTTGAAGAATAACTTCGAATTCTCTAGAAGATGATGAGAGGCTTACATTCTTCAATAGTCTCAACTCAAGAACACAAGAGTAAAGGAGATGATGGAGATAAGAGATTGGGTGAAGAAGAAGGCAAAATGGTTAGAAAGAGAATAATGGCAAGACTCTCCCATGAATCTCCCACTTTCACTCTCAAGGTTGATAATGGAGAAGGGAAATTAGTTCTTTCCCAAGAGTTAATTTTCCAAAATTCATCCCTTGTAAAACTATGGGTGGGTGCTATTTATAAGCACCTCATGATGTAGGATGGAGCCCATGTGCAAGGCACATGGGGAATATTCTCTCTAACCACCTTGTCCGAGGAGGTAACTTCTCCGAGGATAAAGAAAACCTCGAAGAAGAGATCAACCTCTAGGCGAACCCTTCTTCTTAGCCACACCAAACCAATGATCCCCAATCATCCCAAAGGGTCAGGGGTAGTCCCAGAGGATGTCTTGCCGCATAAGGGTCAGCAGTAGTTCAAGAGAACGCCTTACCGCAAATATTGCAGAGTCTCAGGGACCCCCTAAATCGTGCCACCTCGACCCGGGTATAGGCTAGTTTAACCAAAGAGTGAATTTATCTCCACTCACCGTCCTCGGGATCGGGTCCTTTGTTCGAACTCCATTACGCCCATGGTTCTGGTGCGTAGATCCCGGAAAGCTCCGAGCCTGCAAATGTTTTAAGACTCATTAATGGAGCGACTTCTAGATTACGTCTGAATCTGTTCGAAGTCAAGTGCTTCAGATCTCTAGGTTCGTGAATCCGAACCCTTTCAAGTCCGAGTGCCTCGGATCTCTAGGCTTGCTTAATACCCTTTCGAGTCCGGGCCCGAGTAAGTTTCTAAGTTCGTGAATACGAACCCTTTTGAGGCTTCGAGCGATTCGACCCGTTTGATGGCGGTAAATTCAGGCCCACCAACCTTGGACTATTGGGCCTAAATAATTTAGTGGACTTAAATTAACTCCTCTTACAGGTGTAAAATTTCCTTTTGCCAATATTGAAACAATCATCATATTGCACAACTAGTTCATTTACCAATGTTGGGTCAATGCATTGAGTATCTTCTAAAACAACCATATTCCATATGTTCTTTTACAACTTCATTATTTAGGCCAAGTTTGAAAACTTGTAAAAAAGTTAAAAAGTTACTCAAAAAGTTAAAAAGTTAACACTGTTCACCAAAAGTCGACAAGTACGGCTACACAACTCCCAATTCGAATTTTTCTCTACAAATCAATTTTTACAATTTTTTATTACACATTTTTCTATAAAAAGTCAAAAAATTAATCCAAACATTCATATTTTCAACCTCAATTTTTTAGTCCAAAAAGACAAAATGCACTTATTTAGAACACCCCAAGCAACCCCTTAATAACATATTTTACATATTTTTCAAATAACAAAATGACACCTTCATTCCAAATACAACGGAGAAGAGAAAAAACTTTGTGGATAATAAAAAAGAGATTGAAGGGGAGAAAAAAGAAGGAAGATTGCACAATTATAAACACATTGCATAATGATTATTACAAGAGATACAGGGAAGCGGATTATTAACCTTAAAAAAAGAAAAATGGAATCAACTTGCAAGCAACAGATGAAATCGAAAAAGCTTTGTACTTCTTTCTTTAACATTATAAAAGAAACTTAAGTATGTGTTTGTTTCCCATTAGTATCTGGTGTTCCTCGTCTCATCATTGCTACAAATTCGTCATAATTAATGTTCCCATCCTGCAAAACAGAAAACCAATCATGATTGAGCTCCAAGAAGCATAAATCAGATAAGAATTGTTGTTGCTTAAAAAGAATACTATATATGTACTTTATCGGTATCCACATCATCGAGGACTTCGTCTATGGTAGCTTCATCCCCCATTCCATACTGAGTCATAGCCTGTCTCAGCTCCTCTCTTGAAATAAACCTAAAAAATGTAACAACCAACTACGACATGTCATTCCTTGAGAGCATAATAATGATTGGAGTAGGCTTGGATTAGGAAAATTTTGACCAATCCATGACAATGTGAAGCAACATCAACATCAAGGATCTCTTTTAAATGGTGGCCTTTCTAGTAATTTACAAAGGTGAATCAGTAGGCATTTATATGCATTAGAGGTGTGGGCACACACGTATGTATTAGTTGAGTTTGAATTAGTTAGGATCTAATAAATTATCAACACTCTTATTTTTTCTCCCACTATCCCACTTACAGCAGTTTTGATCAGGGATATTTTAGGTATATACAAAAAACTGTGACAAAGCTTCAAAATGTTTTTTACTTCATATATCATAGTAAAGATAATCAACTCCTCTTACCAATAATATATCACTGAAAGAAGTGTATGTGGGGTGTGATAAAATACTAACCCGTTGCCATCCTTGTCAAAGTACTGAAAAGCCTTGTACAAATGCTCTTCTTTCTCAAGCTTATGTCGATGCATGGTAGCTGAGATGAATTCAATGTAATCAATAGTTCCATTTTTGTCAATGTCAGCCTGACAAAAGAACAACAGTGATTATATAAGCACACTTAACTGCAAACATTGAATACGTTTAGTTTTGTTTATTGATGAAGGTTAGCATCACAATATGATAGAAAGTTTAAGGTACTATTGTTACAATTAAAATTTCAGGGATTAAAGTGAAAATCAGATGAAACTTACTGGATGAAAAGAATTATAGAAATTAAGGGCAAAATGGTCAATACATTTATTAGTATGCACACATGACTATCACGTGCCTAATTTCCATCTAATTTAATGACAAATATTGGCGGAAGAATGACATTGAAATTTGCTTAAATTAAACATGAGTGATCAAAGTAGAATTTGAATGAAAATCGGCCCAATATTCTAGTGAATACATTGAGAGAGAGAGAGAGAGAGAGAGTTCTTACAGCATCCATCAGCGCTGCAATTTCTGTTTCATTAAGCTTTGATCCCAGCTTAGACAATCCAATTTTGAGTTCTTCTAATGTGATTGTGCCACTTCCATCAGTATCCATGTTGTTGAATGTTTGTTTCAAGCCATCAATTTCTTCTGTTGAAAGATTTTCAGCAATAACCTTCAAGCAAGACAAATGTCAGTTACAGAAAACTACAAGAAGTATTGTCCATATGGATGTCAACATATTTGGATTATTTTGGACAACAAGAAAATTAACTTTTTCCCTTATACGTTACAAAAGTTCACATTTGCACAACCTATTGGGATTGTTTGCCAAAGGTGTGTGGAAAGCAAGGGAATGAGTCAAAATCCAAAAATCCTCAAAACATAGACCAGCTCAACCACATTAGTAGTTAAAATCTAAATTCTGCCCAGTTTACGAAATTGATTTGGTGTTAAATTTTACCTTTAGAGCAACCTTTTTCAGCTTGTTCATTGCTCTGAACTGCTTCATCCTAACAAGGACAGCACTATCAAGGGGTTTATCTGATGCTTCACCATCTTCTTTCAGCCAGGGATCCTCTGGTTCACAGATCATGATAAGAATTAAATTGATGATTCCAAAGTCGGCTAAAAATATATCATCTTAAATAAGCCATTAGATAAACAATACAAATCATCTTGTTTCTGAAATTTTTCCTTAGATGATGTCCTACCCAAGAGGGACCGACCCTGAATATATGTGGAAGGGATTGATTGTAAAATATTTATAGCTTCATCATTTTATTAGTATACTTACCGAGGGCTTCGGCAGCAGTTATCCGCTTTTTAGGATCCCTCGTTAACATTTTCCTGATAAGATCCTTTGCACCAGATGATATAGAAGGCCAAGGTGGTTTTTCTAAGTCAAGTTGGCCTTGTAAGATTTCATCAAATATGCCTTTCTCGGTCTCTGACGAAAATTTATTCATCCATGCATAAAAAAACCAAATGTTAAAAAACTATTACAACAAATTGGTTCAGATCAATAAAACTTCAGGCATCATCCAGGGGCTTGGAAGGGATGCTAAAGTCATTGCACTTGGAAAACAGAAGTGGATAATGCATTGAGAAGCCCTAGTATTCAGGTAAATGACGAAAACACCCCTTCTACACCATGAAACTGGGTGACGGTTGTGACAATAGTAATACAACTGAAATAGTCCAAATAGGAACTGTGGTTGATCATCTGAATTTCAGAAACTTCTGAATGCTTTACTCTTAAAAAATTGACCTAACTGGTAATTAGTAAACTTTCTAACTATAAAACCATGAATAACTTATGTCTTTTAGTTACTAATATAGAAATAGAAAAAAGTTTAATTACCGTGCCAGAATGGGGGTACTCCACTTAGAAGGATGTATAGAATGACTCCTGCACTCCACACATCAATCTCCTTCCCATACTTCCGCTTCAATACCTCTGGAGCAACGTAATACGCACTTCCAACAATGTCCATATAAACTTTCCCTGGAGAAATTTTTGAAGTGTTGTGCTCACAATAAGTAAATTTAAAAAGATTGATGATTGTCAGGCAATCTACATGAACAAGCAAACAGTTTTTTTTTTAAAAAAAAGTCAAGGCCAAAGAAAATTTGCCTTCTGATTGACACATTACCATGCTTTTTCTATAATTATCATGTGATTCGATCAAATGTCCTGTTCTTGGAGGTGTGGTGGCAGTATAAGCTCTATAGAGTCCCAAACATTCATTTAAGTTGTATTCATCTATTTCTAATCATAGAATTGCTTTTAACAATAAGACTCATCAATATTAATTCCCACTTGGAGAATGTGAATCCTTTTTGTTTGGTGTACACATGCAGATAAAATCTAAATTATCCATACTAGTATGGAAAGTTCACAACAATTTTTTTTCATATCATTAAAATATGATAAATTTTAGGAGCTCTTTTAATGTACTGCCTCCACTTGATGATTCGATGACGAATGCAATCCATGCATTGTTGATAAAAAGAATAACGGTGGGGGAGCCTCTTGATCCACTTTTGATCTCGTTCTCACACATGGATTAACAAAATTAATGAAAATTTGTCACACATGACATGGACCACTTTTTTAGTGGAACATGACTGGTACCAAGTTCACCATAATGTGAGTCACAGATCTGTACTACGAAGCTATTCATGATGTGGTCACCAATCACATGATCTAACTGGTGCTTCTTGTTCTGCTTTTCAATACTATATAGACAGAGAGTCGTTGACTTGGTTGACTTGTCCCTTTCACCATTGACCCAGTCAAGTTGACCCACAAGTGGGATCCAGATGTCAGATTATAACAACCTTTGATTCAAGTTTAGACGTGCAATTATCTCATTATGCAAAATTTAGCGAGCTTTTCACTTGTATCTATCAGCAGCAATCAGCTGCAAGGTCTCTTGTCAACCTCATTTCACCATCAATGACATATAGTTCCTTCCCAATTTTCATCAAACATTATGTATACCGCACAAAGACTGTAACGCAAAATTCATCAAACACCATCTATACTGCGTGAAGAAACAGTAAAAATTCATCTTACACGACAGAAAATCAAAGTTTGAGATTGACAGTCTCCTGCGAAGCACTGATACTTCTAAAAGAAAGTCATATCCATATTGTACCAATATCAAATACAATACTCTTCAGATACTCATAAAGAAGTATCTTATACTTTCTACACATATCCGATACGTGATGTTAATTAGATACTTTTCAGACACTCTAGGTCACATATCCAAACAATTATTAAATTGAGATGGTAATAAATTTTGCATAGTATTAAGAGTATAATTGTTAGATTAAATACAAGAGTTTTTCCCCTAATATGTTGCAATTAATGATCAGACAGACTTGATAGGAATTACAGTCAGTCATATAGTCTGTAATGCTAGAAAGCAATTGAAGACATGTCTACAAAGAACTCAAATTCTAAAATCTGATTTACTCATTAAGAAAAAAAGACAATAAGCTTAAAATATAATAATAATAATAATAAAAAATCACAATCAAATCCACAAAGACTGACCTTCCTCAATGAAAACAGAGAGCCCAAAATCAATGGCTTTCAATGGAGCATCCTCATCCCTACTCACAAGCAAGAAATTCTCAGGCTTCAAGTCCCTATGCATCACCCCCATAAAATGACACGCATGAACCACATTCACAATCTGTCGGCAAACCCTGGCCGCCTCTTTCTCCGAATAACTCCCTTTGGTCGTAATCCGATCAAAAAGCTCGCCGCCGGAGCACAACTCCATCACCAAATACAGATTTTTCGGGTCCTCATAAGCACCCTTGAATTCAACTATATTGGGTTGCCCACTCAAATGCTGTTGAATATTAATCTCTCTCCTCACATCCTCAATGTCCTTCTGAGTCACAAGCTTTCGTCTGGATATAAACTTACACGCGTATTTCAAGCCAGTGGCTTTCTCAGTACAGAGATAAGTGACCCCAAATTGACCCCTCCCTAGTTCTTTGTGAAGATCGTAAAGTTGGGTTATCTCGACATAGGGTTTGCGTAGAATTTGTCCAATTTGTGAAGAAGACGATGAGGATGACGTAGAAGCAGCACGTTTTGGAAAAGGAAGAGATGGGGCTGGTTTTGGGGGTGTTGACTCTAATGATCGTATGGGTATAGGATGATATTCGGGAACAGAGTCTGGTGAAGATGAGATTGGGATTTCTCCGGTCTTTCGCTTTGAACAACAGAGTCCCATACTTGCAAAGAGACTCGCTCAAACACCCATACGAGAAGACGAAGAGACAGAGAGGTGTTTTGATTTGAGAGATTCAGAGCATTTTTATGGATGGGTTTTGGGATTGCGATTAGAAGATGTAAATGACTTTGTGGGTGCTTTGCTTTACCTCTGGGTGTGTTCTGGGCATCATTTCTTCGCTTTATTCTTACATACGCTTTGCTTTGCCACCGCGCGAGAAGAAAATAAAATAGTAGAGGGAATCTGAATTGGTTGGGTCGAGTTTCGTGTTTGGAAACGCGCCTTTTAAAATGTGTAAATATTTTTTTGTTTTTAAAAGAGAGGAGGATCTCTCCGGTCGGGAATCTGAATTGGAGGTACTGTTTGAGTCAATGAGTTGATTGTAAGTTGTGTTTTAATGATTTCAATTTTTATTTTGTTAAATATTTTATATATTTTATTTTCATAAAAAATAAAATTGATTTAATAATTATAATTTGTTTAGATTGATATTTTATTTTCATAAAAAATAAGATTGATTTAATAATTATAATTTGTTTAGATTGATTTAATAATTATAATTTGTTTAATTTATTATATTTTTAATAAAAATATTTATAATTTATTTTTAAAAATATAAATTTTTTAATTAAAAATACGATAAATTGAATAAATTACACTTATCTAATTGGTTTAATTTTTTGTATAGATGAAATATACAAAATATCTAACAAAATAAACAGTTTAGATCATCAAAACGGGATCCGTGATAAATCCTCCAATCTTGGACCGGAAAGGATCCTCCTTTTTAAAATTATATCAAACAAATTCAAATTTAACTATTCATAATTTATTCACAATTATCATATTACTATTTAAATTTATTCTACAAGTATATTTCGCATTACATAAATTTTAATTTTTATCACACAACTTGAGAAAAAACCGAATTCCTACCCTTATTCTATATTGATGGGCCAATCCGGGTTGAACTAACACTTTAAGGCCCATATTCACGAATTAGGGCCAACCCATGGGCTATGGATTTTTTTGTATGAGGCTTGTTAGTTATATTTTTTACATTTTTTTCTTCCTATCACATATGTATTTTCAGTTCCAAAATTTTAGGTAAAAGCAAAAATAAAAACTGAATGTATTACATATATAATGTAAAAAAGAAGGGCAGTTTGGTCTTTAGCAAAAATACAATTTAGACCAAGAACTAATTAGGGAGGTCTAAGAGAGCCTAAATTCGTAATTCAAAGAGTGTAGTAAATAGTTGAAGATGTTGAATTTAGTGACATAAGTCATTTTCAATGACCAATCTTAAAACTAGACGACGAACCTTACTAATTTGATTGGTAAGATCCATTCTCAACTTGATTTGATCAGCGTGGTGAGCTAGTCAAGTAAACTCATTGCCTCAACTAAACGAGAGCACGCGGTTTATGTTCATAATAGTAAGGGTACATGGCACAATGTAGAGTGGTCTCCTCTATTTGCAATGATCACTAATGAAATTATTTTTCTCACGTGGACCACAACCATGTGAGGCAAGTCTATACACTCAATTACACTGTGAAATGGTATCTATTCTGCTCTAATTCTCCATTGTCATAAAAAGGCCCTTGAGAAAGAAGTCCAACTGATGTACTATTGACAGTTTGTTTGCAAGCCCACACCAAGGAGGATGATGACTCCATTATTGCCAAGCCCAATTTGCCTCCATCTCATCCAGAGCGTGAACTATATACATACTAATACCACCAACATTATAAAATCCACTAAATCATCAAATATAACACATAAAGTAGGAAATAGAAATTCCAAATAAATATACGGTAAAACAAACTCACATACAAAGGCGAAAAGAAAAAAAAAAATTCAAACTATTGATTTCTTAATGAACCGTAAGGATATTGGCTAATAAATTAATAATGGGTAGATTTGCAACGAAAGAATTTGAGAATACCTTTAATAATTGAAATATTTATCCGGGGAATAACAAGTATGAAGATATTATATAAAAAAAAAATATGAAGCTTGAGAGATTGAGGTGGGGTTGAACAATTATTTTTTTAATACTTCTCTTCTTTTTTAAAAATTAAAAAGTTTGATGCGCTTGATAAATATAATAATAATAATAACAAATATGAGTAAGATCCCACCACCCCAGTGAATGCTGATTGGTCTAATTTTTTTTTTTTTTTTTTTTCTCCTCTCTTTGACCCACATGTATGTGGAGGTGGTGGGGGTCACCCCCAAGTGGGGGTCTGTATCAGTTTTGTAATAATAATTTGTTAATGAGTGTAGGGGAGTTCAAGGTTAAAGAGGTAATTAAAGAGGCAAAACTAGGTTAATGGTCCAATAATGGCGGGAGTAGTTGGAGAATGAGTAGCAGCAACTATTTGGAAATTTGAGAGTGTGCAGCTAGGAGAGGGTGAAGCAAAATGGCTCAAGAAGAAGACAATGGCAGTACCAAATCAGGCAGCATCTCCCCCAAATCTCCAAAATTCTCCTTTTGAACCTTGGGAAATGGGTCATATTTATAGGCTTTTCTTTGGCACCAAAATGACACCAAATGGCCAAATAGAGAGAAGACATGTGTCCCAGAGGATCACATGGAATATTCTGCCTTGAGCCACCAGGCTGAATGTGCCATGTGTCCCTCTGCATGTACTGTGTACTATCTGTTTGCCTCCGCAACTACCTTTTTGAGCCTTAACAAGTGTAGTTGCGGTGGGAGTGTTTGCCTCTGCACTTGCCTTCTCAACTTGAACCTCAGCAGGTGCACTTGCAGCGGTGAACCTTACCGTTGCACTTGTCTTCTCAATTCTATTCGTCCAGTACATGCATTCTCAGGACTCCATTAGTCTACTATCGACTATGTTCGTGCCCACCTCAGCGAAGTCTCCACCCTTAGCCACCTAACCACAAACTCCCCAGCTTCCCAGGGCGAAGGCCATAACTAAGCCTACTATCAGCCATGTTGTGCCTTAGTACCAAGCCCAAAAGGGCTTCCTTAGTCCTGCCTGTGAGACCAAGGCAGGTCCATGAGCTAGGTAACAGGAAGTGAGTCCTTTATGCTTGAGCTACCTTGCTCCCGTTTTCACGGGATTGCCGCGATAAACTGGTGCCTCTAGGCCTGCTATCAGCTCCAACCAGTAAGTCTTGGGGCCTGCTATCGGCATCGAGTTATATGAACTTTGGGGCCTGCTATCAGCGCCAAACATTAGCCTCTACTTGCAGAGGGAGGCCTCTCTCAAAGGTTGCTATCACCTTGGCAGGATATTCCCTTTGCAACTTAGTTGCTGCGGTCGTAGTTGCTGCGGTAGTAGTTGCTGCGTTGTCATTTCCCAAGGAATGTTTAGATGGTAGGATCGAAGATATTTGAGATGGCGGTGCTGACAGAATGCCTCTGCAACTTGGGCGCTGCAAGTACTGCCTCTGCAACTTAGTTGCCTTGGTTTTCTCCTTTCCTTAGCAACTCCAGATGGTTGTGGTACCGATACTACTTGGAATGGCGATGCTGGGACGAAGTGCCTCCGCAACTTTGTCTCCGCAACTTGGTCATCGCAAGTGTTATCTCTGCAACTTACTTGCGTCGACTTTCTCTTTCCTTCAGCAACTTCAAATGGCGGTGGAACCGAAAATATTAAGAATGGCGGTGATGAGGTAAGGTGCCTCAGCAACTTTCTCGTTACACATGTTCCCTCTGCAACTTCACTGTTACTCACGGGATTGCCGCGATAAACTGGTGTCTCTAGGCCTGCTATCAGCTCCAACCAGTAAGTCTTGGGGCCTGCTATCGGCGTCGAGTTATATGAACTTTGGGGCCTGCTATCAGCGCCAAACATTAGCCTCTACTTGCAGAGGGAGGCCTCTCCCAAAGGTTGCTATCACCTTGGCAGGATATTCCCTTTGCAACTTAGTTGCTGCGGTCGTAGTTGTTGTGGTAGTAGTTACTGCGGTAGTCATTTCCCGCAGCAAGTTCAGACATCAGGACAGAAGATATTAGAGATGGCGACGCCGGCAGAATGCCTCTGCAACTTGGGCGCTGCAAGTACTGCCTCTGCAACTTAGTTGCTTCGGTTTTCTTTTTCCCTCAGCAACTCCAGGTGGTTGTGGCACCGACATTACTTGGAATGACGACGACACCGAAAATACTTGGAATAGCGATGCTGAGACAAAGTGCCTCTGTAACTTGATCTCCGCAACTTGGCCGTCGCAAGTGTTGCCTTTGCAACTTAGTTGTGTCGGCTTTCTCTTTCCTTCAGTAACTTCAAATGGCGGCGGAACCAACAGAATGGCGTCGCTGAGGTAAAGTGCCACTGCACATGTTCCCTCCGTAACTTCACCACTGCAGGTGTTACCTCTGCAACTTGACTTGGGCATTTTTTTTCATGGAGTCCATCTGGAGCCCTGGTGAGTCAGACCTACAACGGTTCACTTGTTGGCCCACTTTCCTTGGGCTTTGGCCCATGCTCCTTTTTTTTTTATCCCTGGTTGCCTTTTTGGGACGATTTCAGTGCTTAGGTCCATACTTAGTTTGGGGCTTAATTTCTGACCCCTTACATTTTGGCCCTTGCACGCGTGGGAGATACACTCCTTGTTTTTCGCGCGTGCATGACGTCAGCAAGCAACCCAAGGGTTGCGTCGGTTGGGTTAGAAGTTGCGTCAGCTTTGAAAAGGTGCCTTTTTGACTGTCAAGTCATAATGGCCTAGGGAAGCGTATTGGCACCCTTTGCTGATTTTTCTTTATAAATAACACCCTTGGGTCCACTGGTCCCCCACTTCTTCCCAACACACCTTTCTGTCTCCTTTGTCTTCTTCTTCTCCTTGTTCCCACTTTCCATAGCCCCTTTTACCTTTCTTTATTCTTCCTCATGGCGAGCACGAGATTTCTTCTGGACAAGGCTGCCCCACCCCCTACTGAGTGGAGGAGGGCCCTATACTTCGGAGGACTGGCTGACCCCTTTTGGAAGGCAGTTGACTCCTTCATTCCTGATGCCCTTCAATTGGAGGAGCCTCTGCTCCCTTTTGGGGAGGCTACTTCGGATGATGTTGACATGGTTAACCCAGCCTCTGTGCTACGGTTCCACGTGGAGCATGGTGACTTTCCACATTCATATGTCTATTATCGCACTCACTCAGGCCTTCTAGTAGATTGGTCCCTCTGGGTCGATGACATTATTACTGATGGTGGCTTTGAGCAGCGCTTGTAAGATGTCCATCTTTTCAACGCCATTTTGATTTCAAGGGAGTTATCAGTGTGCAAGGTGCAAACCAACACTGACATGGTCATCT